AATCATACGATGTTAAAATCTGCTATAAACCTGGCAAAGAAATTGTTCTAGCAGACACACTCTCTCGTGCATACCTGCCGACAAGTGAGAGACAAAAGTCCGCAACTGAAGAAGAAGTCGAAACTATCCACATGTCAAATTATCTCCCTATCTCTGAGCCACAGCTGAAGGAAATACAGCGAGAAACCAAATGTGACAACACTTTACAAGCACTGAAAGAAATAATTTTGAATGGGTGGCCAGAAAGAAAAGATACCCTTCCTCGATGTATTCATCCATACTTCTCAATTAGAGACGAGCTAGCAACACAGGATGACGTAATATTCAAGGGTCAGAGAGCAGTTGTTCCAGAAACACTGCGCAAAAAGATCCGGGATAAACTGCATGTAACACACACAGGAATACAGAGCTGCCTCAGAAGAGCCAGAGAAGCAGTTTACTGGCCTGGCATGAACAAAGATCTTATCGACTTCATCTCGAAATGTGAAATCTGTAACACATTCCAAAACAACCAGACCAGAGAGCCCCTTATTCCTCGTGAAATCCCAAGCCGCCCCTGGCAAATAATTGCTGCTGACATTTTCACAGTCAACAACAAAGACTTTCTCTGTACTGTGGATTGCTACTCCAACTACTTTGAGATAGATCGTCTATTTTACAAAACTGCTGGGGAAATTAAGAAGAAGCTCAAGCGACACTTCTCTACTCATGGCATACCAGATAAGCTCATGAGTGACAACGTACCTTTCTCCTCTAAAGAATTTCAGGATTTTGCCAAGGAATATGAATTTACCACCGAGCTAAGCTCGCCAGAGTACGCACAGAGTAATGGCAAAGCAGAAAATGCCGTCAAAACTGCAAAGATGCTAATGAAAAAAGCGACTGAATCTGGCAATGACTTCTATCTTGTGTTACTAGAATGGCGAAACACGCCGTCTGAGGGGATGGAAAGCTCTCCTTCCCAGCGTATGTTTAGCAGACGAGCTAAAACACTGCTTCCCATATCGAAGAAGCTCCTTAAACCAAAAGTTGTCACTGGTGTCCAAGAAAAACTTCGAAAGAGGAAAGAGATACAATCAAAGTATTATAACAGAGGCACAAGGGAGCTAAGTGCATTAAAGAAAGATGATGTAGTCCGGATAAAGCCAAGAAATTCCGACAGAACAGGCCGCTGGACCAAAGGATGTGTCATAGAGCAAGTTGGTGTAAGATCTTATAATGTAAAAACCGAAGATGGAAGAATCTTCAGACGAAATCGAAAGTTTCTACGTCAAACCAAAGAGCCTTTCTTTGCAGATGAAGAAGATACAATCATTTTCCCCAGAAAGGAACGAGAAGCAGTGGCTCGACCTTATGAAGATCACCAATCTGAAATGGAGCAATTCGATCCGCAAGAGTCACCTCACTCACGACCTGATGCTACTGAAGAAAAGACAGCAGCCGCCAGACCTGCTGAGACCAGATTTGATCACAGGCAATTGAACTTTTACCAGCCAGTAACGACAAGGAGTGGCAGGAAAGTAATTCGGCCGGACTACCTCACTGGCCACAACTTCTGATTAGCAAACTTTAAAAACAATTATTTCTACTATCTTACTGTTCCGTTTATTCTTTTGTTGGAGGAAAGGTGTGACGTTATTAGCCTCGTATTTATGTTATGTTGGGCATGCGCCCGGTTCGTTATGTTATGTTATATGATGTTATGCGTGAGAATATGAAATGAAGTATTGAAGTTCAAATTCGGGTGTTCTTTCGTTGTTACATACCGGATATTCTTACACGAAGGAGAATGAGAGAGGAAAGAAGAGACGAGGCAGACTATATTCATACGATCACACGAGTAGAGTAACTTAGCTGCTAAGGGCGCGTCTAACTTGTATCCTTTACCATTGCAGATGGAAAATCATAAAAACCGTCTTGAAAAGGATGAAATGTCTGACAGAAAAGGGGCACTCATCGAAAGATAAATAATTTATAACAGCTATCGTATCTTATAACCTTTAATAACGGTAATAAAAGTACAGTAGCCCCCAAAGAAATTGTGATCTTCTTAAAGCAAAATATTTGCTATGAAGCAAAACGAAATACATATAAAAAGGGGAGAAACAGCTTGCTCAGCAGAGAAAACCATTCACAATTCCCATAGGTAATAGTTCGATTTTTTCAATGAAGAAAGCCTAAGAAGAAAGACTGTTTCAATCCGGGTAGAAAATGACTAAATTTCGTGTCTGAAAATGCAAAAATAATTTCAGAGCAGAACACTAAGTCACATGACTGGTATGCAGCAGCGTTCGTTGCTTCTAACAAACAGTAGAGATGAATCTTTGCATTGTTCAATACCAGAAAGTACTTACGTCTATCTAAGTTACTATAGCCAATAGAGACTTTCTGCAACCAAGAAACTACCAACAGCTCTATAGAGGATCTTTGCCCAATAATTTTCATCTAAGTTCAAAATACTGACAGAATACTAATAGCTATGTTCCAATTTATAACAAACAGTTATTTGTGTAATAGCAGTCATCAGTTAGAAATGAAGGGGTGTTATGACAACCAAACACATCATGTCTAGAAGTTTGTTACACTCAATGAGCCATAAAAACTGTATAATAGTGCAACAACGTGTCTGGATTTACCCTAGGCGCACGTGTTGAGGCGAATGCTTGAACATGACAAGCTCGATGATGCAATCATATCTTTTCACCATTAAATGCTATATTCAAATACAGCTAAATCTCTACATTATTAAGACCTGCGAGACCAAAGGATTCGTTGTGTGGAGGTTTGCATCATCTGGAGGTCTGCGTCATTTGGAGGTTTGCATCATTTAGAGGTTTGCATCATTTAGAGGTTGATTGGCCAAAGTAAAGAGATTTTGGGGCACAGTTATTTGTCCGTTGCTAGAAAGTGTCCGCTACTTTACTGTGCAGTGTCTGTTTATCAACGTTACAAGGTAGCAAAGATAAAAAGATCTAAATTGGGGCGTCGGGCGAAATCCTCCATGTTTTCAACTCTGAAAGGTAGTTCAAAAAACAATATTAAAAAGTCACACATAGAGGGTATGAGAATGAGTTAAGACCAACTTCATGTATTTGAATAAAGTGAAAAGGCCTACACGATTTGCGTCGAAATGTTGCTCACTCTTTAATGTCGAGGCAATACAGTACTGCACCCGGAAAAACATCAGATACATTGAAGTGATTCAAAAGAACGAAATGATACACAGGAGAATAACAAACCAAAACAATTCTTGATAGAAATCAAGATTTTAAGAAAACGCCCTTTATAAAGGGATTACTGACATAGAGAACTATCGATAATTTCCTGCCCAGTTAGACAGCACAACAAACACTTAACAAATTCAAAACTGTTCATCTTACATTACCCAATCATTGATCTCAACTCTCTACTCTCTTTAGCAATATTAACAATATCAAACCAGGATTGCTTACAACAATAAAGCTCCTATTTACTGTATAGAAACCATGATTCAAAGTGCACTCTTTGGCATTCTCGGTTTGGCGAGCTACAATGTAAAAATCCACCGTCCTACTCGCAACATGTTCTTCACAACTGATCAACAAAATAGGTCTCCCGAGAACTTCGACCCATTTCTTTAAAAATAGCTTTACATTTAAATCAGACAATGTAACTTTTCGGCAAGATCTTCTTGTTCAGGAAAAGACTTTTTTGCCATGGGTAAATTTGAGCCATGAGTAGAGATTCAAGCGGCAAAAGTTGCTTATACTTGGTGCTTTTAACACAAAGACATCTTAAAACTACTATATAGCTCAGTCGAAGTAGTATCATGAGTGCTGTGTTCTATAGTCAGGCCAGAGTTAAAAATATTATTTTCTAGAAGTTAGGGACTCATACTTGAATGCTTAATAAACGGTAAGATGAAATCAATTCCTGATACAGACAACTAAGTATTAATTTCCCAACATAGATAATTTACATAGATACAGAACGAATAAAGACAGAAATCCGCCGTAGTAGCTCGTTAGAAAAATAAAGTCCATACCAATGTGTCATTATATAAAACAATGGAACCTACCAGTCAGTTCCGATCTTATCAACAAGTCCCGTACTATCTACCCCATCATAGAAGAAAAAGTTATTGTGAGGCGAGTCTCGTCCTGACACGGCCTAAAAAGGAAGTTGGGTTTATCACAACAAAGTCCTAAAGAAGAAATTTCTCCTTACACGTAGATTCAAATGAAATCTACACTTTAATACGTTGCTTGGGTAAATCATTGAAATTTTTTTAAAAGAATGTTAATTTTTCTCCCATTTAAAAACCTATTTTAACTGCAAACATTTTTGGTCCCACTCGCAATGCAATCGACCGTACGCATGCATATATTGAGACCTTTTTGGTCGCAGAGAAAAAACTTCGCTCGCATTGGATAAATGCTGGGATTCAACTCCCAAAGCGCATTCAGGCAAAAGGTTACAAGGAACCAATTAGATCAAAGGTTTTCACAGCGCACGCGCTAACGAGCAAAACAATGGAGTGGTGGCCGGCCATACTTCACTGTAATAAAACACCTTATTCTTACTGTTATTTTAGCATCTTGTTTCAGTATCAGTATAATTATAGCAAGGATAACAAAAAGTAAACAGGATGAGTAAATTGTCTTAAAAAAGACAATCTAGGAGCACCGATTGTACTCACTTTAATAATTTCTTGAGCCAGAATTCCACCCACAATGCAACTGACAGCAGTAACTTCACCAATGCAATGACTGAAGAGAGATAAGATTGCATTTGCGATCAACTGAGTAAGCAACAACAGTACACAAATAAAACAATTTCATAGTCTTATGAAGCAATCGAAACGGGTCTCATTAAATTAAGGGTTTTCAGAAAAGAAATCATAGACAGGGTGCCAAATATTCTTCATCTACACTTTTAATGAATATCAGCATATGATGCGAGAGAAAACTGTTGATGTGCGCAGGGATTTTCGCAAACTGATTTGTTTTTTGGCATTAGCATCTTGGTTAGAGTGAAAACTGTATGATCTGATAGGCTTTTTGAGCAAATTTCACAAAAGGGACAATCACTTGCATAAGGATTAGCTGAAAATTCGCATGCCTATCAACAGTGTAGTTTAGGAATACAAACTATGTATATACTTTCTATCCTTTTTTAGTAAGGAAAAATTAGAGGAAAGCAAAGAAAATCAGAAAATATCACGCAAGGTTAAATTTCCTCCGACGCACATCAGAGTATAAACGTCAGATAATGACGAAAGGTAAGCAGAAAACTTCATGTGCAAATTGAAAGCAACGTGAGAGAAGGAAACCAAAGGCCAAATGCAGAACATCATTTGCAAGAAAAACCCATAACTAATAGTGATAAGGTCACCAAGTATTATGAGTTTCTATTGTCTTTGATTAAATGTAAGCAAACACAAAACATTTTAACAAAAACCCAGACCTGTTAAATTTTTTTGGAACCGTGAATTGAAAGAACGAAGTAAAAGTGATAAATCTTTGATGAACTATGTAATGCCAAACTAAGGGGAATCTTTGATGAACCTGTTTGATTGGTTCTTTGATTTTTACCAATCAGCGACCGCCAACCCCTCTCACCTAGTTGAAGAGTTCAAGAGAGAAAACGAACTCTTGCTGCCTACACAAGTTCGGAACCTTTGTTTGGATGTAAAAAGATTCCAAAACTCCTAGATGAAAAGATGACCTTGCTTGCCCAATGATGCTAAAATTTTCGCCACTTTACGTTTTGGAGCACTTTGGATTCTTAAGCAAATGTTGACCAATAGCCGAATCGTATTTTATATTGACCAATAATCGAATCGTATTCCAAAACTCCTAGATGAAAAGATGACCTTGCTTGCCCAATGATGCTAAAACTTTCGCCACTTTACGTTTTGGAGCACTTTGGATTCTTAAGCAAATGTTGACCAATAGCCAAATTCATATGGGCATTTTGATTTTTGCAAACACGTCCTGGCAGCAGAAACATGGTGTTTAAGGCCCTAGACACAGCGAACAAGATTTCAGGAAGATCTTCTGACACACTTAATCTCTTTTGTTTATAGAGAAAAGGGATTAAGCTTGTTAGTAAACAAATGCTGATTTTTCAGTGCGGCCACCCAAATTGCCACTGAACGAAATTCACTAAACCCTTGAAGGTTGCCCCAGAGCAGGACGAGCTCTGGAAAACGGAAATGATAAGCAATTAACGCATTTTTCTGGTGTCAAACACTACCCAAAGTCAAATCGTTTTTTTTTTTAACCACATTACATTAGCCTAACAGCAAACAACCACTTCACACACGAACTGCAGCGCGCTCGAATTTCCAAGCGGAAATCAGATTATCTTTGTCAAACTTGAGAAAGTATTCTCGATTTTCCACTTTGACAAAGATAATGAGTTTTGTGTCAGAAATCAGTGCGTCTAGGGCCTTATTCTATCGACCGATTACTGACTAGTGTGTCCTACATACTAAGCTTTACATTTGCATGAAAATTCATAAACGGACCAAACAATTGTGATTGGCAGGAATGTATCCCTCTTCGAATGAACTATTTTGGACTATTTTGGCTATGGACTATTGTGGTTCTTTTCAAATTTTGATGTTGTCAGCCCAAGGCACTTTCAAATAAACAGGGCACTTTTCACGACCGAACTTTCCCTCTGATACAGGTTGAAATGACAAATTCTAAGTTCTTCTTGGTAGCTATTATCCAGAAAATTTCCTCTATTCTTCCAAGCTCTGGACCAAATTAAGTTTTTTAGCAAATTATAAGTGCCTGAATGCTACTAAAATTTCTAACGATTTAATTGCCCAGCATACATCAGCTTTCTATAGACAATTGAAAATGGGTGGATGCAAAGGATCAATATGACGAGAATAGCTACCCTGGGAGAAGACCTACTTGAAATTGTACCCCTTCGAACATGTCAATCATCTTGTCAAGGCAATAAACATTTTTTCAAGGCTGGACGCAAAACCCTCTAAGCTTTTTCTCTTTTGTTTTCCGCTGCATACTTAGGTACAAAAACTACAGGCAAAGGACATGAAAACAATATTGAACGTCGGAACTGTACAAGAAAATGTTCAGTGGACCGTTTCTTCCAGTAAAACTAATCGTTGCTGCTTGTCGTTGCTAAAGCAAGTAAGCTCAATACACCTCGCTTTGTTATGGTCTAATTTCATGCTATGCCAGTAGGGTATATTTGGTTGTCTTTGACGACAAAAGTACCGAGATGGCAATGGCAAGAAGTCTTCTTTTCAATCTGACATTAATGTAAAAAAGAACCTTGCATCAATCTAAAGGTTTAAAAAGTTTGATCGCATAATATTTAAGGACCTACCTTACGAATTCGTCAGGCAACATGTCGTTGTCGATTTGCATTTCTTCAAAAATTGAATCTCTAATATCTAGGAGATCTTTCCAATCTTTTCCTTTATGCTCAACTCTAGGGAATCTGCCTTTTGCCATGCTGAACTCTAGCATAACTGTGAAACAGATGAGGATGTTAGCTCGAAATATATCAGTTAAAATAATGATAAAAATAATATCCCGCCAAATCTCCGTTTCGGAGCAGTTACTATAACGAAACACAGAATTGCCAGGAAAGACGTCATTTGCAGTAAAGTACCACAGGCTAATTTTCACTTAGGTTTGAAAAAGTTCAACCAATCTCTCGATTTCTATCAGGCCTTTTGCGGTGCTTTTTAACATTTGTTCCATTCCTGGTAGGTGTCTTTTGAATTGTTCGCACTATCATAAGTGTTCTAAGTTTTTTTCATGTAATCCACACTGTTTGTCAGCGATAAGAAGTCGTCAATCATTAAATAGAGAACATCGGCTTGTGGTTAATTAAACACTGTCTTTAAAAGTGATTAACATTAGGCTTGAAATATAAAGCTAACTGGTTAACTGCGGTGGTCATTCCTGAATCACTGAAGCAAAATTCTCTCAGGGAAGCCAAATAAATTGGCAAACTTTTAAATGGTAGTTTTTTCCATTGCATTAACATCACATCATCTTTCAAGCCACAATATTGATATCAAACTTCAGCAAATAAGTGAGCGGGCTAAGTCCGCCAGACCTTCCCTGGCTCCCGCTCCGGCTCTGGCCCCGGCTTGCTTACATATAGAATTTCCAATATTTGAAATCCCTTTCTCCAATTCTAAATGAAGCAGCTTGCAGAAAATTTCGTTAGGTTTTCATAGTAAATACGCAAAACAACAGCAAACCTTGCATGACGAAGTAGGTTTTTGAAATACTTTTCAGCTGTTTAAGGGACAATCCATGAATGGCCTTCGGGGACACTGCACTTTGAAAATTCTTGAACTCTATGGCCTGTTAAAATAGGTACACAAAGTTTTAGCATAATAGCAATTTTTTGATGCCCCGTATTGATCAATTCAGCTAGCCAACAATTGGCAGCAATTGGAAAATAATTGGAATAGCTGAAAAACCTGACAATATGGACATGTTAGTCATAGCTGACTTAGTTCTTGTTCAGGCTGTATATTCTGTACGGCTAAGTGGAGACACAGCTGATGACAACCAAACTAGCAGGGGTAAGAGAAATGAAAACTCAGATTCCGTAAAGGGTGTATCCGCAATACTGCTAATGACGCAAAATAAAACCGATTGCTGCCAACAGGAAAGGGGATACTACGTGACATCCAAAGGAATAAATAAAAGAATGAACGAATAAGTTTTTGGTACCCCAAAATCTAACGATGTCACGAAATAGGGAAAAGATAGCACACTTAAGTACTTTTTCTGAAGTTTATATTCCGAAGAGCGTCGGACAACAGTAATTCAGTATGCTATGTTTCCGCCATTTTGTGCCATTTTCAAAAGAATAAATGAATACTGGCATTCATAATCAACCATTTCTTATCGTCCATTACTTGAAACTTACTAACCTTGTGTACCATTTCATGAACATCTTCATCTGCCCTTGACTCTAACTTTTGTCTTTTGGCTGCTGGCTCATTTGATTTTTTCACGGATCCTGTATCAACCCTAACTTTCTCCCTAAATTAATGTTATCAATTAGAGCAATGCAATACATTTAATACAATTGAGACCTAGTATAAAAATAATACAATCAATGCAGTTAATCTTAAAATCATAAATTTTAAAAAGAACTTACTTATAATCTACAAATAAGTCTGAACCAATGGCATTGCGAGAATAACTCCGTAAAGGTATAACTGGGGCCTTGTTGGTCTTTCTTTTGCAATTATTTTTCAGTGTTTCTTCAATTTTTTGGACAGGTGCAGTTGTTTTTTTTAGAGTGCTTACGTTAGCATTTCATGTGAGAAAATCAGTATTTACGATCACATATAAGAAGCTTTTCTCACAATATTGTCCATTTGCAAAGTTGCAACTATTTTTGGCTTTACATTTTCATTTGCAAGGTTCAAAATGTAAGCCGACCGGAGGTTTTCTAGACTTTTCCTCTCGAGATGGCTTCGTTAGATCACTAGTACAGAGGACAAGGTGCCTGCGACTCAACTATTTGTGACAGTGTCATTAGCGACCCTGCCCTATGCTATTAAAAATTTATCAAAAAACTAAATTCAAAGAATGCTTTTAGTACTGCAACTTGATCATATGATAATCAGCCCCTCCTACAAAATGGTAACACTGCTGCCAAAAACTAACTGCTCTGGTATTAATAGATGATGCCTATTGATAGATGAGACAATGCATATGGGATTTACTTCTAGAGATATACTTACTCCACAAAGTGGTGTTTTCCAAGGTCTGAAAACATATATCCATAGTGCCCAAAGACACAGCCTGATAAAAACTTGATGTTCTTTTTGTGGCATATTTCATTGACCTTGAGCTAAAAATATATCAAATCCAAATGTTAATTCAAAAAGTTTTTTTCAGCACAGGATAAGATAACAAAAATAACAGAACACTAAAAATCTAAATCCATGCAGCATGGTTTTCTGCAATTGCTAAGTAAGCAGCAATTTTTTTAGAAAAAAGTAGAGGAAAAAGCTTTAGGCCTAAATGATTGGTGATCACTGTGATGATCATACAGTGATTGTGGTGATTAATACAGTGATGATGATACTGATTAGGCTACATTTTACACAACTCAATGATGACAAGACTTTCCTTGACTTAAAGTTATCAAAGTAAGTAAATATATCCTTTACCTGTACATCTTTCCGTTGATCAAGCAAACAGACCACATCAAAATTCTCAAAGAATGATTCAGGCTTTGAAGAAATGTCTTCATTGTATGCATGCAAATCTACCATTGGATTCATTTCATGCAACCGGGGATAGACAGCATCAGCTTTCTAGAAAGCAATGAACAACTGTGAATACAGGAAATCCCCAAATTAACCCGCTCAGGACATATCAATTTAGGCAAGATGGTGATGGTGAAACTAAAGATGTTTCTAGGTATGTTGCTTTGGATAGTAGACTAAATTTAGTTTAATTTTGCTGAAGAAGAATGCAAGACAGATGACAGTATAGCACCCTGTGATACAAGTTCATGTTGAAGTTGGTCTTGATGATTATTTTTTATGGCTTTGAAACATCCTTAGAGTTATAGTAGGAATCATACTGAAGGTTTGTTGCACAGCTTTTATTTTTCCCAAAGAGATCTTGCTATCTTATTTGGAGAGGATCTTGAGGTACCCCATCAAGAAATTTGGCACTTTGCAAATTTGGTCGATTGGTGCATTGAGATCAAATTTGATCTTTGGGAGTGTGGCATTGATTAGAAGGCCACTGTCTGACGTACTGCAGTATATGTGACACACATGTTTAAAAATATTGTAGAGCATTTGGACAACCTGAATAAGGGAGATTTCTGTAATAATAGAGTACCAAGATATTTTGGAAAGGATAAATCTAAATGAGGATGAAAGACAAGTTTCTAGCTCAGCTTCAATTTACTTCTTTGACATTTCAAAATCAAAGTTCCAGAAACAAAGAGAAATCAATTGATACTGTTCATAATGGAAAGAAGGCTTGACAAAAATTGCTACAGGACATAATACACCCGCAGAAAAGGGTTACAGGTAAACTTCAAAGATTTTTGACATCAGGCAAAAGATGAAAATCCAGACAATGATATCCCTTCTTGTTAATGAAAAGGTTGAATTCAGTGACATAAACTGCTTGCAGAGCTCATGTATTATATGTCTCAAAATAAAAACTAATAAAGTTGAAGAACATGTAACATGGAATAGAAACACATACATTTTGTCCAATACTGTTTTTGCTAGGGAGAAAAAGTTCTCTCCTGTTCTCTTTTGTTACCTCTGTGTTATCCATAACAGTGAGATGCTGAACACCAGCCAGAATGATGTTCTTAGATACCTCATTTCCCAAGCCACTAAGGCCACATATCAAAATTCTTGACTTCCTCAATCTAATAAAACAAAAAAAAAAGCTTTCATAAAGTTTACCTAAAATTAGGTTGTTACAGGGTTGAATTCCAAATCAATACAAAGTTTAGTTTTTAAAAAGTGGAGTTTTTTGATTCTGCAAAAACTCCTACACTGGAAAAAAATTAAAACATAAAATTAAGGATAAAACAGTGTCTTAGTAAGAGATATACTAAAATATGATAATCAAACCTGCTGATAAAACTATTACAGTGGCAATAAGCACAGGACATCAGGTGTTTCTTAGTATTGTATATACCATTAATAATGGAATGAAAACTCTTTGTGATACTAGAGATTTTTACGCTTATTCAAACCAGTATCATTCAACTCTCTCATTGCATTCTGGAATTTTTGCTCGCAACAGATTTTTGCCAAAATTTGCCAAAATAAATTTTTGAGATTTTCCAAAATTGTAAGCAGATATCTAAAAATAATAAATATGGCATTCAAAAGTTTAAAACCAAGTCTGTCCTCCTTGGAGCAAAATCTGCAAAATCCCAGACAAGCATTCTAGAATCCAATTTATTTAAGTATTGAAGCGCTTTAGCATTTTAGTTTCTATTATATCGAGAATGTTTAAAGAACCTGAAGGACTTTTCTCTTATAAAACCTAGACGAAGGGTAATTGTAAAACATTTTTGCAGAGGTACAGACGAGGGTATTGATGAGGGTATCCTCGCCAAGCCAGAAAATTTCTGCAAACCACGGCCCAAGAATGCGAGCAAACAACTGTATATTTTGAAATGTAGCTTAGACTATCCCCCCAAGGTATCAATTTTATTGCAGTTTTGCACTTTCTCAGACACCAACTATCTGAGCATTGGGGGGGGGGGCAGATGCTTATACATTGATTTGTCAAGTATCTTTAACCAAGAATACTCCATATTGTTGATACATTATAAATACAATTTTTGGCTAAAATATTACATTTGAGACTTTGGCTTGAAAAGTTGCAGCTTGTTCAAAACAATTAGTGAAACCATATAACTGATTATTGAAAAACATTTTGTCAGTTGTCAATTTATGTGTCTAGGCAAAATATGAATTTCTTTAACTTGTATCCAGGTATAATCAATCAGGGGAAATGACTCTACTCAAATTCAAGGCATGGTGAGGTGAGAGTTTCAACTTTCTTATTTTCAGCCAAACTATTCGGGTAACGAAAGAAGTTCCTAAAGATAAAATGTCTAATAAGTCGTGAAATTCCTTCCCTTAACATCTTTTTTAAAATTGCAGAGTAGTGTAGTAATTACCGTGTATGATATGGAGTTTAATTGGATTTTATAAAAACATCCTGCAAACTTGATTTAGATAACTTGAACTTTCATAGAAATGCGAATGCTTGGAAGTGAATGATAAAAGGCAGCATGTATGTAATTTCATTGAATTGTGGGTCACTACACTCAAACATTCGTGAACACTATCGCGAATCTTTGCTGATAAAGCGTGATAATATCGTGGTAAAATTCTACATGCATTATTTAAGTATGTATCCGGATTTCTATAACGTTACCTTCTCTGTGATTCAACGCCCCATAACCTGATTTGACGATCATAAACTGCAACCTCTTCTTCAGTTAGGCCTTGCTCTGTCACGCCAAGCTTTGATACATTATCGTCCTCTGCTGTCTGCAAGCACTTCTTTTCTTCGTGCATTTTTAAATAGACCACGGATGCATCGAAATTTAAGCGAATCAATTGGTTTCACTTGACTATTTGTGTCTCAAAGTGTTTAGGTTGGGAGCTTCTCCCACTAACTAAACTCCATGTGCATTTGTATCCACAATGTATTAGCCTCGTAGTCACATTCACTCCAAGGATGTCTCCTTGGCCCCTTCTTTTCTTAATTTCTATAAATTACCTAACTCATCATCTTTACTCTCCTTCATTTTAATTGCAGATGATTCCCTATTTACTTTAAAGCTATATGTCTTGATATGCATAGAGCAATAAATAACGTGTTTAAAAAGGTTAGAAAATGGCTAGACGTAAACAAGTTGCTACTAATTGTTACTAAACATTACTAATTTCTAATTTCGCAAATTTTATCCGCAGCATTCATCATTAGAAACAGAAAATATGAAAATTGGAAGTGAACTGACACAGCAATCTAGGTATGTAACTTTCTTGGTGTTATTTCAGACAAAAATCGTAATTGGAAATATAATTTACCTAACTTTCATAAAAGTTAGCTAGAACATGTGCGCAGGGGATCTTTTAAGAAATTTTTACTGGTGGGGAATTTACGCAAAAGGGCACTTTCCTTAATGTAACGCAACTGACGGCAAAAACAAAAGTAAAGGGACGAGTATGCATAGTTGGTAAGGTTTTCACTGTCTTGCACATAACTCCTTACACACATGCAGCGTATAGTTAGAAAAACACTAGATAAAACAATTTGAATATAGTACTCAAGATCATGATGCTTTCTGCATTTAGAGTTATAAGAATAAACTTTTTGGTACAAATATTTTGCTACAAAAGTCTTAAAAATGTCCGGTCTGTCTGAAAAACTTTCTCACGAATTTCCGTCTGCTGTATGTATCAAAGTCTGGTTGATGGTTTCGTCGCTCACGTGCTGAAAGAGAATGGGCAACAGCTGGCCGTGGATCATAATGAGCTGTTCCAACACCGTTTAGGGCAATAAGCAGTCTGGCGTTGATTGTGTCTTTAGTCATGTTTGTTCTTGAATCTTCAACAATGATGTTATGATGAGACACAATCCTCTCGGTTTGCATGGAATGTGGTGACATACTTCCAATAGCAGCTAGCACTTTTTGAACGGTGCCATCTGTAATAGGCAAGAGCTTTCTCAGACGTACTGATAGTTTACAACCAATGTCGCTTCCTTCTGGAAGATGCGGCACTTTTTCGATTTTGTCCCACTGTTCACAACATTCATCTGCAAAGCGACCCTCTTCCCCTGGAAAAAGCCTCTGGGTCATCCCTATTCCTTTTTCCACAAATTTCCCCAGGGTACTTGCACTCAACAATTCGCTCATACTCAACAAAATTTCTTCTTGCTCTTGGTGGAAACGCTCACTTAGAAAATTTTTCGCTGAAGATGTTATTTCAATGCGAATTCAGATTCATTTCGTCTGTTAGTTGGCACCAAAGTGTTGTGCGTTTGTCTTGCTCTCTGTGTTTGGATGTTTTCCCATGGTAGTGTAGTTTTTAATTCACGCTTTCCTGGGTAGGGTGTGCCGCTCAACAAATCAAGTTTCCTTTGTGCCATGCTAGAACAAGTGAATATATCTGGAAGCAGAAGATCATCCCGTTGCATTTGCTTCTCTAAGCTTGTGAAAACCTCGAATATATCACCCATTAGTGCTGTGAGCTAAATCTGTCTTTCGTTCCACGTATTCAGATATCCTGAAGCCTCCCTCTTATCTTTGCGGTCTCCATTTCTTGTAATTTTTCCCCAAACTTGTTTACATCCTTTGATGTTCGTAAGAACAGCATCTATTAGTGAGAGGAAATGTTGAGCAAACCGTATGTCATGATGCCGTGGAAATTGCTTCATCTCAATAGCTGCTTTCTCCAGCATTTTCTTTTTTGAAGTTGATGTACGAAAATATGTAGCAACACCAATCAGTGATGACTTCCAAATCTTTAGCTCTGGGACAGAATTGATAATTGCCTCGGTTGCAAGATCTGAAAGATGGGCACAGCACCAGAATGTAAAAATGTTCATTTCCAACTGGTCACCGAGAAGCTTCCAAAGCCCGGCATTTCGCCCAGTATTTGCAGCTTCACCATCCGTTGTTATTCCGACTAATTTATCTTCATTTGCCTCACATACCTTTAAAGCTTGATTCACAGTCTCGAGCAAGCCATGGGCCCCTCTTTCTTCTGGAGAGTGAATCACCATAAAAACTGTACGCCTGTCGCCATTTGTCATTGACATTGTACTACTGACAAACTTGTGATCTCTCATGTGCTTACTGACGCTGCCATCTATTTGAATGCTGTAGACTATGCATTCCAGAAACATTTTTTTTACTTTCTGCAGTTCAATGGCTTGAACTGAAGACAACATATCTCTGTAGCACATTGGATCCCTGTAGTGTAACTCAGCATTTGTTGGTTTGAACTCTGGTAGAACTGCATCTGGACCTTCATCTTCCATAAGGGATATGAGTCGAGTGGCTGCAAGCGTTGTTAAAGACCTTGCTGGCCATGAGTGAGCAGAAATAGTTTCACAAAGACAGTCATTGTATAAATCAAATGCCATGTTTACCAAAAATTTAACTACATTGGTGTTGGCTTTTTTTAAACCGTTCAACCATGGATGATTAGCACTTTTCTCTTCCCACATCAGCTCCAATTGCTTCTGATTTCTCGTTGCTTTGTGCATTTCTGAAAATACATGATCAATTATTAGTTTGAGTCGTTCTTCATCATCTGCTATGACTTGCAATACCAATTTTTCCATTTCGCGAGTATTTCTTTGCCACGTCCAAATATTCGTTGCATAAATTGCAAACAACATGAAGACGTTTTTTTCCCATTCTTCTTTGCTGTATAGCTTTGCAGTTCCGGAAAACTTTCAATAATGAACTTAAGATCCAGCTTAATCCCGTGGTAATAAAATACACTGGCTGTTTTTTGTGTTTGAACAATGTGTGTTTATTGCTGCGGGTTGTTAATATCTTGGTTTTCAATTTCTTCCGCTTGGGCTGAATCTGGATGGCTGGAGGCTCCTATTTCTTTCTCTTTTGTACCTTTGTTGTCCGTTTTTAATTTTGATCCATAAAAATTTGTTAATTTTCTGCATTTTGAAGCAATTTCTTGAGCTTCTTTCTGCTTTCTTTTTAACGAGCGTTCAGATCTGGGCATGTTTGGAGATCAATGACGCAAGCAACTTTTCCCGCGGATTTCATTGCCTCGCCTTGGTGTAGTGCAAGAACGTCAAACAGAGATTGGTTGACAGCAATACGACCAAAGAAATAACGAATAATTTGACACATATAACACGACAACGACACAACGAACAGTAATTGGAGATAAGTCAAATTGGTGTTTAAAACAATTTTCAACAAAAGGGCACTTGCTAGTGGGGAATCATGGGCCAACTAGTGGGGAAATTTATGGGCCTGGTGGGGATTTTCCCCACTAGTTTGTATGTTAAATGTGGCATGTTTCTCAAGATAAGACTTTTTATTCCAGTTGATGTTTTTAGATATCTATACAATTCTTCATTCTCTCTTCCTTTCTCCAATAATAGCTTGGGGCCTTACAACTAATGTTCGTATCAAACCTATTTATCTGCTGCAACAGTGGGGGGTTAAGGGAAAATTTAACACCCATAACAAAAGATTTTGAAAAAAACTCTATTGTATTGCAAAAAAGTGGGGGGGGGGGGCCAAGGCCCCGGCCCCCCTTCGTCGGAGGCCCTGCTCCAGGTCTAGTTCCAAAAGTTTTTATTCGTAGACTTCAAATCATCAAATCGTAGTACCAAAAGTTCCCTAAATAATTTCTTAATTTTCATTGCACATCAAGTGCCATAAAAATAGTACAGAAACAGGAAAAACATTAATGTTGCTATATATAGAGAAAATCTCACTTTCGGTGTTTTGCACATATTTTTTATCTTCAATTGCATTCACAAGTTGATTATACAGATCTAAAATAGCTAACGAGGTAGACTTACTTTTTTGAAAACCAAATTGGTGTTCGAAGATGATATTATGTTTAACCAGTCTGATATGCTTAAGTTTTTCAAAGATTTTATTAAAAATAGGCAGAAGTGAGATTGGGCAATAGTTTGAAACATCACTCCTTGACTAAAGCAAAAAGCTCTTTACGACAGTTTCTCCTAAGGCAATGCAGCTGTAGGAGACCATGAAAAACACAATTTATCAATATAGGAACATAGTTTCAAAGAAATGAATACTATTAAAAATTTGCCAGGGGTAAGAAAATTGAGTTGTGTGCAACCTGCATAGAGGCAAATTCTTCGAAAGCAAGATCGATGCAGAAATTTTTAGAGAGGGTGAGCTCCCCAACATCCAGTAACATTTTAGCAATAAATTTTGCTCCCCATTGCTCCCCCGTAGAAATCGCCACTGGTAATACCATCTACTCATTTCTTACTGAAGAAGCAATTGTTGGAGTACTACTTTTACCAGAAATATTGGTCCTGTCCAAAAACCACTTTTATAGAACTAGGCATCGACCCAGATTGCATATTTTCATAAATAGCAGTTTCAATACGTCAAATAATACGGACTTTTTTAATGCATCAAATGTCTATGCATCCTCAAAATATATCAATGCAAGCAACACGTTGTCACTTGCCGCTTTACTCCGAACGAGGTTTTTCAATTGCATTTAAAAATAAAGAAAAAACTTTTGGCAATAATCTCTTTGCTTTGACACTATCCGTTGGATAAAACTTACAAACGATGAAAACTAGATTGGCTCTGGAAAGATATGACCAGAAAAGGTATTGCTTAGATTTTCTCCAATGTATGGCAGCCTCTTCTGGTTTTCGATTGACAAAGAAGTGATGGGCGGGCGAAACGTATTTGAAAGTGGAAGGGCCAAAATATCAAAGTATTGAAAGGGCTTAGGAAAGGCCGCCACCATGGTTGGCGGCAAGAAAATTTTTAGAATCATGGTGTCTTAGGGATGGCCAGAAACTGTATCTAAAATTAATTTTGACTGAAGGTATCACATAGTCGCGTCTTTTGTGATGTTAACTTGAAATAGAAATAGAAAGATTTGCAAAGTTTTAGAATAACCACTATCATATGGCTCGTAATGAAACCATTTTTAGATTTTACAAGTACCCGAAATAAGATGGGGGTGAAAAATAAATGAAACACGGATTAATAAAAAACATTAACGTTGAAATATCAATAGAAGAACTAAAACTAAAAATTTTGTACAGTTCATATATAACTTTGTAACATCTGATCTAACGTTTTCGGAAATGAAGTGCTTTAACAAAAATTTGAAAAACCTTCAAACTGGGCTTGTCAAAATGAGTTCAAATAGAATTTATAATTACGTCGATATTTTCTCTTTCTTATTAGGAATGGATAATCCAAATGATCAATCTCTGAAGTTTTCTTGATGATACTTTTTAAGAACAAATCTGCCCTTACTGTATTTCTCATATCCTCAAAAAAATTCTTTCCAGCTTTTTTCTTTTCCTTCATCAGCTGATTTCTCGCTTTTTGTAATGTTTCTTAGAAAGTTTTCGTTCACAAATAGACCATGTGTGTCAAGTTCAGGCAAGGAAAAAACGAAACTCTGTCAATTTGTGCTGGCACCAAGTTATTCTGGACTAGGTTTCTCGATCTATTTGCTAAGCCAAGCTGTTACTCGTTGTAAAACTTAGACAATGACCGATTTCTTCGATCTAATTCCCATATTCAATTTTATGTATGTCTTGCCGCCGCCCCGGTTTCGCCGGCCCTGAAGAAGTGACCTATAAAGGATGACGCAAAGAGTAGGCTGCTTGCCAAAGCTTTTTTATCTTCTTTGATTTTGACCTCAACGATGTGTAAATATCAGCATTCATCATTTATAAAACTATTGGCGCAGATCGAGATCTGATAGTGGCGAGGATTTTTCTGGGAATACATTTACTCCATTGCAATGATATGGTATTCTATGTCCTGCCGCCGCCCCGGTTTCGCCGGCCCTGAAGAAGTGACCTATAAAGGATGACGCAAAGAGTAGGCTGCTTGCCAAAGCTTTTTTATCTCCTTTGATTTTGACCTCAACGATGTGTAAATATCAGCATTCATCATTTATAAAACTATTGGCGCAGATCGAGATCTGATAGTGGCGAGGATTTTTCTGGGAACACATTCACTCCATTGCAATGATATGGTATTGTGTAGTAAAAGTTCTGTGGTTTCAGACCTCAATCATGCTTGTCAGGAGCAACTTTGCCACCATAGGCCACTTTTTTGTGCCTCTGCAAGCTGAGGATGAAGTCAGCCCGGAGGAAGGCGAAGTATTTATCACGCAAGGCTTTTTAAGTTGCAGTCGCACAGAATCTTGTTCTTTTGTTTTCAAAGAGAAGCGTAATTCCGTGCTCAAATACAAACCTGAGAGGGCTGTGTGGCAAAAGCTCAAACAACCAACAGGTATTGCTTGTTTCTTTTTGCAACCAACAGGCATTGCAACCAACAGGTATTGCTCCCTACGTTAAGTTTTAAAAGGAATCATAGGTATTTTTTCATTTTGGGTATATAACAAATTAGCAATCACCAACTCTGGCAAAAATTATTTCTTGATTACTTTTCCCTGCCTTTAATTCATTATTCAGATATAAAATTGATAGAGGAAAAGCGAAAGAGAAATAGGGTTGCTTTTACTGTAATTAGTAGATGTTTGTGTAAAGAATTTGTTATAAATCCTTCCACATTTCACGTTTTCAGTGCATCTCTTTTTTGCTGTGTCGTTTATGGACTTAAAGTCACGTTCTCATTAGAACGTATCATAGCAGCAAAAGTACTTTGTGACAAGCGAAATTCAGTTGTAGACAATAAGGTGTTCATTACGATTAAAATACATAATTAGATACAATTAACTCATTCACTAGACTGCAAAGGCCTATATGAAACTGGCAAAAAAGACAGTGGCATCTACAATATACCCATACCCAACCAGAAATTATTAAAGGTTAACTGTGATATGGTTACTGATGGTGGAGGTTGGACAGTTATACAACGACGTATTGACAATTCGACCAATTTTCAACGTGTCTGGTCTGATTATAAACATGGATTTGGCAGTATCGAAAAAAATATGTGGATTGGCTTAGAGAACATGCACCAGCTTGCTAGTCCTACAGTTAGCAGCAATCTTCGCATAGAAATAAAGGATCGTCTGAATGGTGAAAAGATATTTTTCGCAAACTATGAGAGTTTCAGTATTAGCCATGAGACTGATGGATATCGATTGCTTGTTTCTGGGTATTCGGGTACGGCTGGCGACGCTTTCAACGTCAGCGTGTCAGATGAAAAACGGAGGTCGTATTCTTCTCCTCCAATTCCCCGTTCTAACAATGGTATGCAATTTTCAACGATTGATCGTGACAACGATGGCAATTTCTTGACTCACTGTGCGGCTAGATACAATGGTGGATGGTGGTATTTCTTAGGACATAGCTGCCACCTTAATGGGTTACTTCCCCTTACAGAAACACCAAGTTATAAATGGTATTCCATGGAGTCGAAATACTGCTGCATCAGTTTCTCCGAAATGAAAATCAGACGCAACTAAACATCAAAGCGTTAATGATGCATCTCCTTCGTTTTTGTAAAACTATCTATATTTTTTCCTTGTTCTCTATTTCTCTCATTGTATGTAATTTATTTCATCTTTTGTAACCTGTTGCTGTAATTTAAAAGATTCGTATGAACTGATATGGTAAAAGGCTATTGTTGCAAACAGCAAGTGTTTTGACTTCTATGATTCTTTGAAATGCCATTCCTGTGTTTTTGACTTCAAAACAAAAGTTTCAGCCAGGATTTCTAGTGCTTCTTGATCAGTGGTAAAATTATTAGTTTGGCATGATATTAATCACTTTTGCTTCTAAAATTTGATTTGAAATAGACCTAGAGGACAGAACCGGTACCTTGGAACTAAGTGCCTATGTGACCTGGGACGATCACAAAATAGGCAACACCAAGGAGGTGAATAGAGTACGGTAGAGGCCACTCTGGGTACCAGACTCATTTTAAACAAAATGAGAGAGTCTGGTTCAATGTGCCCCGACCTCGTTCCAGTGGACTGATTTGAAAGAACTTTAGTCAGTCTAACCCTTTCGTTATTGACAGAATTTAAGGATTCATTTGACTTTTCCCTTGACCTTTTTTTGCGACTGTCCCATGTCCTGAGCATCTCTGCCGAAGCACAGGTACCTAAGTATTGTGGGGCGTGAACTGATGAGTTATTATGTATCATTCGTAAAAAAGGTCATTATGTATCAGTTTAAAAGCTTTTCCGGCTACGTGGAGCATTTTTACATGAACAGTTGAAAGCTATTGAGAGTTTTTGTCTTGAAAAGGGAAATTCTCTCATTTTTGCGTTGATCTAAGCTCTAGTAAAGACTTCATGCGTTGTTCGACAGAGTTTTTTAAAACTAAGCTGAGTCTAATGTGATATTCAGATTTAAAGCAACTGAAATATGCAAAATTTTGGTTTTATGGGGTAACAGCAATAATTGACTTGAAATTGTGTTAATTTTAAACCCCTTGGATGTGAAGGTTTCCTATGGCTAGGTTTACAACGCTGTATTTTCTTAACAACGCAAAATCGAGGTCATGTTCCACGGTGGATTTGTGGGAAATTTATCTGTGTAGGGCTGTAGTTAAAGAGATTTGAAATTCATTGTAGCAGATTTTACACATTATTTTTTTAATGGACAGTGGTAAAAATGCCCAATTTTCGGCTTTGGCCTATATTTGTTTACATTTTTCGGGGCTGTGATTGACTCAGCGGCGAGAGAGGTCACGTGATTTAGCGCAAGCTCTCAGCCAATCAAGATTTGAGCCCTATGCTCCAGATGTACATCTGGATAAGGAATTAAAGGGTTAACAGACTGGAAACTAGGCTTGTAAAACCAGACTGTCGGGTAAATAGCAAAGATTCTCAGAAGTCAGTGAAGTTTTGGGAAATCGTAAAACAAATTTGCTTTGAGATTTATTTATTTAATACTTTACATATAATTCTGTAAAGGCAATATTATTAGAACAAAAATAATAGACTAATCAATTAGGTGTAAAACGTCATTTGGCAACAAAACCATGTGCGAAGCTTGAAATTAAAGTTAGTACAGTGCAGTTTTAAAATGATAATCATTAATAAATTTTGCATGAAGCTTAAGATAAGTTTTTTGCAATTTTCCTCATAAATCGTGTGTACTTTCAAAGTCTACTTCCTCACTGTGAAGGCAGCGCGCTTGGGCACCGCGACGGCCAAGCATCAGCACGTTGGAAGTTCATCACAGCAAATTTGTTCAATACAGCAAGTGAAGCCTTGTATGCCCGGACGAGATATCAGCTATAACTGATTCACGTGTGTTTGTTGTTGTTTGTTTTTGGCCCCTTGCGGTGTTTCTTATTTACTACATTTCACTACAAGGCCTGGTTTCTTGGCAATGAGAGACCCTGCCTGAAATATCAGAGACTTTCCACAGCCAATTGGCGCAAAATGGCGAAGGTATCTCTTTTCTCTTCAAACAATGTTTAACAGGTTCTTCAAATTTGACAGAGTACAGTTCTACAGCGTCTTTTTAACTCAATTCTTACGGTCGCCAGCATTAATTAAAGTTGTGTTCTGTTCAAAGTGTTACATCAGAGCTACGTTTATTGTTTCGCTGTGACCTTTGAACGTACAGAAGTCTGTACACTCGCTCCTGATTGGTAAATATCGGCACACAAGAACGAGGAGAAGGGCGCACTGAACCAGTCTCTTACTCTATATAGAGTGAGTCTGGTACCCAGAGTATATGCCTATGTATTATGTCTAGGTGACGTATATCTTACAGCTCTAGTATTTCCAATGAATCAATTAAAGGTGTGGATTGCAAAGTCGAGAAAAAGTTTAAAAGGTTTGATGATAAAGTCACAACAATAGTCAAAAAAGACTAATGCGTAACCTTGAAAAAATCGTCCCTTTGTTCTAGAGTTTCTTTAGAAGTATTACTTACAATTGAAATATAGAGAATTAGTCGTAGTTTCTATCCACCCAGAAAGGTTTAATTCATAAATATTTTGTTTGAACTCTGCATTGACCTAGACTCTAAATACAAATTGATAAAACAGTCTTTATACTTTCCACGGCAAGATCATTTACAACAACGCCAAACTTTAAATATATCCACAAAACATCAACGTTATAAAATCAAAAGCAGTTCTTTCTTCCAAAATTTGTCTGCATGTAACTTGAATGTTTTCTTTCTCTTGCCTACGCTTTCACTAAAGCATAGAAACGTTTTAAGGTCACACCTTACACACACAGTTACATCGAGTTTATTTATTATAACCTCTCTTTTACGGACAAATATCTGCTTTTGTTGAACTTAAGTGACATTGAATCGAAATGGAATGGTTTTGACCTTTAATTTTCTTTTTGATTATTGCCTTTAAACACTTCTTACTCTATCTAGCATATAAAAAGAGGGTCGAGAGAAATAAAATTGGGTTGTCCAGAAAATGCTCTGTCGGTTTTGAATTCTTAATCAAACAAAGTATAACAACTAGGACAGGTTTTAAAAAAATTAATTAACAAGGGGGCTCTAAGGCGGTTTCATAAGAAAAGGTGTGATTTCACATGTCTACGCCCAACTTCTCATAAGTGAAGATAAAATATCAAGTGCTTAAGCAATCAAAAGCACTTTACGACAGTTTCCCCTAAAGCAATGCAGCTGTAGGAGACCATGAAAAACAAGATTTATCGATATAGAAACATAGCTTCAGAGAAATAGACACTATAAAAGAATGTGTCAGGGGTAAGAGAATTGAGTTGTGTGAACCCTACATTGAGATCTTTGGAATAAAAGCAAATCTAGGCCTTTTTAGGGCAAGGAAAAATTTTCGAAGCAAGTATTATGCAGAATATTCTAAATTTGCTGAGCCCCAGAATAGCTAGGAAAGATTTACACAAAAAGGCATTGCCCCTTTGCACCCCCTTACGCGTGATATCACCACTGGCAACAACAAGCAAATGAACAAGCAAATGTTGGAATATTTCTTCTACCAGAAACTTCCAGTATATTTGATATCTACCCTGAAAAGTTACATTGATTTCCAGCACATGGCCTCCCCCAAAGCTAATCCAGCCATGTTGCTAGGTAGAAACAAAGACAAATGCCTGCTTGATAGAAGTTTCAAAATGTATAGCATACGATAGATTCTTCAATTTCATTCAGTGATTGATTGATTGTAGGGGTTGATTTAAAAAAAAACTACTTGGTGTTCTGTTGTTGAGAGGTTTATTTACCATCACCAGCAGAGAACTATTAACAAGCGTATTAATCATAACCTCGGTATGAGACAACATATTAATGCAAAATAGCATTCAATCTTGCCCCAAACTGTCACACAGAGCAAATGAATATTTACTTGGATAAGACATGGAAATTGACATTACTGACAACTAGTGGGGGCTCTAATAATACTGATCATGCAAATCATGATACCAGCATGAAATTTCGCACACCTACTCAGTGTGATGCACTGACATTTGCCACTGGATGCTATTTTCAGAATGGGGTACTTGCATCCAATCCATTTAAGGAGCATTCATCAAAACTCAACTCAAAATAAAGAAGATACAGATGTAAAAGTTGGTAGAAATACGTAGTTTGGCATGATGAGAACGAAAAGGGTCAGATCCCAACTCTAATTTGCCACTGGATACCATTTTCAGACTGTTGTACTCACAGTCCTCTTAGCTGGTCCTAAATTAGCAATTTTTGTCAAAAACCATAAAATCTTCCTAAAATTTGTCAAAAAATCCTTAATTTCCTCAAATTTATCAAAAATTTTAGTTAACTTTGTTAGTTTTAAGTTTTAGCACCAAGTATAGTGCCAATAGACAAGAAAAGTTATAAAACCTTCTAAAGTCATAATTTTTTTTCTTTTCTTCTTATTGTCCTATTTCTTCTTGAAGGTCGCTCTTCTTTTTCAATCCTATGTCATTTTATGATTGTCTCTTTTGTCTGTCTTCTCTCTTTAAACTCTTCTGTGAAAGACATTATTTCCTATTCTACGCAATTTCCAGATTTCTTCAATTCAATTTTTCTTTTTATCTCTTCAAGTTTTTTTTCATTGCAATTTCTTTGCTTATTCCCTCAACTCTACTCCCTAATCGGCACATCCCTGGCTCCAAGAAATATTCATCTGGATTATATTCTACTTGATAGCATCCTCATTAGTTTCTTATGAGTTCACAGAAATTCTCTACGGTAATGCTCTATGTAACTCAAAATACTCGGGGAATGACGGCTGCAAAACTTTTGCAATTGTCATTGGGAGACTTGAAATTAAGCTGAGTGGAACAGATTCATTTCTAACTTCCGGATAAAGGAATATGTATCTTTTATTAGCTGGACATCAAATGGCAGTTTGTTGAGCAAGTTTCTGTTCGATGTCACCAGTCTTGTGTTCTATATCGTCACATTCTTGTTTGACCATGATTTGTTCTTCATGACACTGATAAAGTGTAAGTTGGTATAGTGCCCCCATACCCGTCTCCCCTTTTGGGACGTCCCTACGCACAAAAAAGGTGAAACATTGCATACTTGTATTCTTTTCGTCCAACGATCTTCAGAATCTCCGCTAGGCATTGCTTCTCGCTATATAATGCCTCCTTCAAATTTTACCGTACCAAATACTTTTTTGATCAAATAAGAGATCCTAAAAAGTCCTAAATAATTATTGTTGGGTCCTAGAAAAGTCCTGAAACTTGGCTTTAGAAAGTCCTAAATTCCTAAACAAAATTTGAAAACGGATGCTGGGAGGCCTATACTCGGACCCAGTCCGTTTAGCGCTTGAACCGCTCCGCGGTTTTGACCACTCTTGGTGTGTGGATCCATTGTTTAGGCTCATTTGCATAATAGGAAGATTGGGGCTCATTTGTATTAGTGGAAAACAAAGCCTTTAACTGAACTTATATACTTGTGTTCTTCTTTAGCATCGAAATCCAATACAAATTATCTGTCTATAAAGATAAATTGGCATCTCATTTGCAATGTGGCACTTTGCCATGACCTTGATAATTCCCTTTTACCATACTAATTTGCATTTGATTAAATGCATGTTGGCTTTATCAAGATGCTAAGATAGAAATCTGCCAGAACAAGATATTCTGTTCAGGCCTAAGACGGAGCAAACGTTTCCCCAGGCAATGAAGGCGATTCACTTGATCAGAGTATGTTGCATTCAAACCTGCATCATGCTAGTCAAAAGCAATTTTGTTACTACTGGACACTTTTTTAAACCAATGGAAAACGATGCTGAAACTTCCTTGGAAAAAGATAAAATATATTTAAAATCAGAATTCTTTTCTTGCAATAAAGAAGAAACGTGTTCTCGTGTTTTGCAAGAAAAGGATTTGAATAAGAAGAACTTTCCAGGTGAAGACCAAAGTTCATTACAAAAAGATAAAACTCTTAGCGTTGCGTGGAAGAAGATGAAGCAACCAGAAGGTAAGTTTACGAGGTTTTAGTACACAAATAAGATTTTTATAAATAGTTCAAATTTAGCAGCTATTGGTTTGGATCAGTTGGCTAAGGAATCCAGGTATGTGTCTGAAGAATATATGTACTACAGATTTGTTGCTGTCATTCTAAATAAAATACAAGCTTTGTAAAAAGAGTTCTGGAAAGCACAGTTATGTTTCAACGAGGAAGGGCTCTAATGATAATATATGATAATTTATTTCTGTAGTGGTAAATTATCATTTTAATACCAATGCAGTTTGACGAGAGTAATAACCAATCGCGCTTCCGTAGCATCAGTCCTTGTATGCTAAAGAATTGTTATTTTTCAGGCCTTGCTTTTGACCTGAAAAGCGAAAAAGGCATTTTGACCGGATTTTGTTCATTCCATAGATTGCAAAGATCTCTACGACAGTGGTAAGAAAGAAAGTGGCGTTTATCACATAACCAGACCGAACAAGCAAGTTATCAAGGTTTACTGTGACATGGAAACAGACGGCGGAGGCTGGACTGTAATACAACGCCGTATTGATGGCTCAACCGATTTTCAACGTGGCTGGTCTGATTATAAACATGGCTTTGGCAATGTTGAGAAGAATTTCTGGATTGGGTTACAGAATATGCACTCCTTCACCAGCCCTAATGCCAGTACCACCCTTCGGATAGAGCTAAAGCACTGGCTCAGGGGCGACAACCTATTTTTTGCTAAATATGGTAGCTTTGAGATTGGCAACGAAACTGATGGATATACTTTGAGTGTTTCTAGGTATTCTGGTACCGCAGGTGATGGTTTCAACAATATTGAATATTCCCACATGCAGAACAACGGACAAAAGTTTACTACCCTAGATCGCGACAACGATAAAAATTTTGTTAAAAACTGTGCTGTTATTTATGAAGGTGGGTGGTGGTACAACGCCGCCACGTCTTCACAGCTAAATGGCTTGTATCCCGACTCAGAAAATTCAGACAAGCAATACATGACATGGTTCGGAATAAGCAATTCCTTTGGTAACATAAAGTTCTCTGAAATGAAAATCAGACGAAACTGAGCCGCCAATATAAGGTTCACAAATTGGAAACTTTAGCACGAACATCTTATACGCTAATAAGTATATTAGAAATAAAACGAATTGTTATAGCACTTTTTCTTGCTTGCATGCAAAAAGCTTATTTTGTCGATTAAAATTTTCAATCCACAGTTGAAAGATGAAGCCTTTCGATTGGCTGGCTTCAAAGTTGGACAATGCATAATGTTATGATGGTGTTTTGTATGTGGTTTTCATAAACTATCGTTTACATTAGTAACATACAGAAGCGGTGCCACGGGGGGATTGAGGAAGACTGGGGAGGGGACATGTCCCCCCAAGTTTTCGGCAGGATAAATTTTGCATTTCGTCTAAATCCGATGAGAAAATGTTGGGGGAGGGGTAATATTTTGGCAACATACTTTTTGCGATGTAATCCTAAGATTTTCAAGCTGCCTTCACATAGCCAAAAGTGAGTCATGGGCGTTGCCTTTAGGTAAAAATTTCGTTCCTTGTTAGTAAAAGGGCGTTTTCTGGTGCTAAAACGTGCGTGACCTATGATCTTTTGTTTTGCCCCCCCCCCCCTTAGAGCGTAGTGGCTGGCACCGCCATTGATAATGTACACAAGAAAATGGCATATTTTCTTATACATGGAACATTTAAAAGTGCTTCAAGAAAAGGTCGTTCATCGGTAATGGTACACAGATGTGGAAACAAACAGCGGCAAAGAGATGAAAACATCCTCGACAATTCATCGTAATAGTAGATGAATATAAACAAATGTAAACGGAAGTCCTGGATGGGGGAGCCTAAAAGAGAGGTGGGCTTATTAGAGAGGGGGCTTATTAGAGAGGGAGCTTATTAGAGAGGGGGCTTATTAGTATTTCAATATAAAAAATGTTATAAAAATGTACTTATGCGTTTTTGGTATGAAAATGTCATACAAATGTTCTCAAAAAACTTTGCTAGCAGCTTCGAAAATTTCTTAAAATCGATCAATTATAATGTACTCATTTTCCTCGGAGTCACCAGGATCGATGGATAACTCCTGGGACATCTTCTAAGCATATTTCGACTGACTTCTAATGCTTTATTTAATGCACACAATCTTATCGTCACCACACCCGTCAAAAAATCCACTCGATGCGCATGTTTTCTTTGTTTGACATCGGGGGGCTAAAGAGGGAAGGGGACTTAATAGGGACGTAGGCTTAATAGAGACGGAAGCTTATTTCAAATATTTGCTTGATAAGGGGGTAGTGCTTAATAGAGAGGGGGGCTTAAAAGAGAGAGGGCTTAATAGAACTTTTACAGTAGATATTATAGCTGCATCATTTAGACCATAGTTTAATCATTCTCATTCTTCTCATGACACCTTTTTCTTTAAATTTGTCTTCCTTTAGTTCGAAACAGAGGCACGTTTGCTCTAACCGCAGAATATATTATCAATTTTAACTAACCGTTTTTCTATGTGCAAAATTTCACCGGACTTACAAAAAAATGCCGGTTCATCTCAGCAACGGGCATTCCTTTTGACAGTATCTCTATTAGATATTGATAACAAAAAATGTCACGTACATCTGTACGTCTGTCGTCACGACGACTCATTGCTGCTTTCGGGCATAAAAGTTTCAGATAACAAGAAATATAGTTGTTCACAAAGCCGGCGAAACCTGTTTGAAAGTGTAGGGGCCAAAATATTAAAGTCTTGAAAAGGCTTAGGAAAGGCCGCCACCATGGTTGGTGGCAAGCAAAATTTTAGAATCATGGTGTCTAAGGGATGGCCAGAAACTAAATCTAAAATTCGTCGCGTCTATTGTGATGTTGACTTGAAATAGAAAAGTTTTGCAAAGTTTTAGAATAACCACTATCAAATAGCTCGTAATTAAACCTTTTTTAGATTTTAAAAGTACCCGAAAAAAGATGGGGGAGAAAAATAAATGAAACACGGATTAATGGAAAACATTATCGTTGAAATATCAACAGAAGAACTATCTACCAAAAAAAAAAGTTAAGCGATTTTGTACAGTTAAGGTATAACTTTGTAACATCTGATCTTAACTTTTTCGGAGATGTGCTTTAACAAAAATTTGAAAAACCTTCAAACTGGGCTTGACAAAATGAGTTTAAATTGAATTTATAATTACGTCGATATTTTCTCTTTCTTATTAGGAATGGATTATCCAAACGATCAAACTCTGAAGTTTTCTTGATGATACTTTTTAAGAACAAATCTGCCCTCACTTTATTTCTCATATTCTCAAAAAATTTCTTTCCAGCTTTTTTCTTTTCCTTCAACAGCTGATTTCTCTCTTTTTGTAATGTTTCTGAGAAAGTTTTCGTTAATAGATAGACCTTGTGTGCCAAGTTTAGGCACTGGAAAAAATAAAGATTCGTCAATTTCTGCTGGCACCAAGTTATTCTGGACTAGGTTTATCGATCTATTTGCTAAGCCAAGCTGTTACTCGTTGTAAAACTTAGGCAATAACCGATTTCTTCGATCTAATTCCCATATTCAATTTTATGTTTGTCTTCTATGATAAAGACATAGCAACCAACGTAAAACTAAGACACCTCTAAGAGAATACTAGGCAAAGTTACTTACTGAATCATATACTACATTTATTTCCACTTTTGCTTAAAATTTTTCTTTAACTTTGCAGGAAAGTGGGGGGGGGGGGCATGGCCGGCCCCTATTTCGCCGGCCCTGGTTTAAAGTGATATATCACGTTTCTTAATGCTATGTTATTGTTGAAAATATTTTAAATTTTACTCAATTTTGTTGGCTTAGGTCGAATACTTGAAAAGGTGAAATCTGTTTGTTAAGTCTTTTCTATCCTGTCCGTCCGTCACAGCATACGCTCCGTCCGTCACAGCCTATTTGTATTTATCGCAAAAGTAATTGCTCCAACTCCCTGACTACTGTGCCCTGATGCTCGCGGGATCATGTTTGTTATACAATCGACCAGTCGCTGACTAATACACAGGCACAGCACTAAAGATTTAAAACAAAAAATAAGTCCAGAACTTGGCAAAATCAAGGAATTTTTTCTGGTAAATTGATAACAAGAAGATTTCCATTTGACCTGTTCTAGGAAAAAAGTTGCCAACTTTTTTGGCTAGCAAAAAGTTTTGTCCAGGAGAACGCCAGGAGAACGCCTGTATTTAATAAAAAATGCCTTGTTTTGGCATCTTTTCAGCAAAATTGGAAAGTCAAATGCAATAACAAATTGTTTTTCTACTAAGAACACTTATTTGGTCTATAGCGCTAGTACAAAATTCAACTTTTGCGGCAACAAATATTAGATAAATTGTAATTGTGACTTTTCTGCTTAAGACTACAGCAATGGTACAATTCGTGTCTATTGTGAAAACAGAACAGTAAAATAAATTTACATCCAAGCTATCGGTCACAATGCACAATAGTTTAAATAGAACTAAGCATTGACCCAGACTGAAATGTGTTCATTTATGCCAATTTTCCAACAAGGAATTTTTAAGGTCCTTTAGGAGAATAACAAAAGGCAGAAGTATCTATGAAATATTAATGCTACGAGCATTTTACAATATCAAAGACAGGATTCATTTTGCACTTCGCCTGGAAATAATTTCTTAAGTCTAAATAACACCGAATTTATTTAGACCAAGAGGAAAGAAAAAGAGTCTTTTAGAAGGTTACAATGCAGATGCGTCTGCAAGCGTGATAATGATTTCGAGCTATTGTTACACGTGAAGCTGTATAGATGGCATGTAATGGAATTTTAAGGTCTCCGTTCTCTGTTTAAGGCTGGAATTCACTCTTCAAGATGTTAGTTTAGATAATTCTTCAACGATTTATCGAATCATTTGAAATCGTGTCTCTGATTCTCTTTGCAATTAAGTTATCGTAATGATTTGTTAGTGCATAGTAGACGCTTTACTTCCTTTAAAATTGTTTAAACATTTGCTCGCTATCTCGATGCTTGCATATTCTTTTAGGGACTCTTTTTTCTGTATATTTTGTCCAAGTTGCCCAAAAAAATAATTTCAACATTCTGCAACATCGCTGTTCCTGCTGATATTCATTATCAGTTTCATCTCCATTTTGTATCAATTAAATTAGGGACAACGTCTTTAATTTGAAACTTTCAATTTGATCTTGAGCATCAATTGTTTCTTTGCAGTTAGAGCCATTTGTTCAGCCGTGCTAGATGCAAATCTCTCTGTCATTCATTTACTTCTTTCATGTTGATTTATTTCTCCTTCTCTTTATTGCAGGCATATGGACCATTTGCTTGTTTCTTAAGCTACGTTGCAGAGCATAAACTTTAATGCCGTATAGGGTCCATAATGTCAAACTCAAATAGTTGCAAAAGTCAAATTCACATAAATCAAACTTGCATAGGTCAAATTTACATGAGTTAAAGTTGCATTAAACAAACTTGCAAAAGTCAAACTTGCATAAGTCAAATTCTAAAAGTCCAAATTGCATTTGTCAAACTCAGATAAGTCACCCTCGCATATGTCACCCTCGTATAAGACAAACAAGGGCTTGCTATCTACGTTCATATGCCGCTACCACCAATCATTTCGCAAGTATAATTCGCAAGACTATAAAGCTCAGCAAAGTACGTTTAGATATATCTTGTATAATCAATATGAACAATGCTATGTACTTTTACTTCGATCTTTCATAAAATGCTGTTATTTGGTAAAATTTGATATGAATGAAATTCTAAAATTGAAAATAGAGAGAGGCTTTAATACAACAAGTAAAAAAATTCTACTCAACTTGTCTGCATAGAGATAGATAGTTGATTTATAGATGGGAAATTTGAACGATTTTCTTTAAATCAATCACAGAAATGTAAAAGAAAATTGCCAAATTTTCAAAATTGGAAAACCGGGAAGCAACCATGGGGGTGAAATATGTCACCGTTAAAAGGTTTTGATGAAGAAATTTCTATTGTGAAAAAAAAACAAAAGTATTCAGGGGAAACTGACTGCAGGATGGGCTGTAAAGCTTGTCGATAACAATTTAGACGATACCAAAAAAGAATGAAAATGTCCTAACAAAGATTATCTTTCAGATTAAGCTTCCATGAGATATGACCTAGGCCACGGCGTGTCAAACTCGAGCAAAAAAGAAAAGACTAAAATGAAAACATAATCCAAGTAATGCGCCAAACAAAATGAACATTCATCAACTAAAATTAAAACTTGCGGTACTGCAATATGGAAATCGAATTTAGATTGCCAATATTTCAATCAAAATGATATTAAATCGTTATAATATTATTACTTGCAGTGTAAACATATTTCACTAGCCGAATATGATCATACCAGGTCCCGGATGGGGCCAGCGGTCACAGTTCCACCATTTTGGCCAAGGCAAGAATGGAGCTTAGAGTGTTATCGATAAATTGCATCTAATGAATGGCATCAGTTGCTCTCGCGAGCTGATAAGAGATTCTAATGATACAACAAGAACAAGTTCGAAGAAAACAAACTCACGTGGCTAGTCAAATGGTCATTTAACGTCATATCCCGACACTATCAGACTGGTTTGATGACGAAGAGCGACAAAAAGTCTTGAAACGAAAACTTTGTTTTCAATCTGAGTCTTTTACCTTAGCATGTCATTTAGAAATATCGTTCTCATTCCTCAGCAATCATTCTAGCGAAGAATCGCGACAATTTACACACCACCAAGGGAGCAGGGGCAGAACGTTTCATGCTCAGGGTGGGGGCATTAAACAAGTGCCACAAAGGAATCAAACAATGGCAGAGAAATTTCAAAAGCAAAAATTGTATCTGATTTTCAGTTTAAAACGAACTTGCTGCCATAACAAAGCCATGCTGAAAAATGCACGCATACATTAGCGTCGAGAGATTGGGCACCCGGGGTGAATTCCCGGGCCGTAGCCCGTCGCCTGGGACTCAGGAAGAGCCCCAGACAATAAGATCGCAAAAAACAATCTTAAGCAAGCCGCTTGTTGCATGCCCATTGGTTAACTCATGGGAGGACTTGCTTGTTTGTCAAGATTATTTTACTATTTGGCGTCTGATTTATTGTTTTATCAACCTTGCCTTTGCGCCACTATTGCTACACAAAGGCCACTACTGCACCACTGATTGGGCAACCTCAACAGTCTTGTACTCGCGTTTCTGATTGTCCTCTTTCGATCCACAACTGGGTATATATATTTCCTTGGGTCGAGTTTTTCGATCTATGTTCTGACATTTTGTACTCTGAAAAGTGTCAGACGAAAAGCTTTATCAACATGTTGGAAAGTTTTTGCATTTTTCAAAGCCATTATTCTCTAAAAGTCACAACAGTTTCTGCTCTTTATCCCAAAGACACAAAAGAAAAGTTTCTGCTCTTTATCCCAATGCAGAAAGACTTATCAGTAATCAAAAAGACTTATCAGCGATATCATCTTTTCAAGAATTTAAAATACCAGAGATTATGTGCTATAAGTCGCCCACAAGACTAAGAAGCTTGTTCAACGCATTTAATTGAACATATTACATCTTTCTCTCTCCCTAAACGTAAAAGCAACCAGTAGCCTTTGCAACTCTTTGGTAAAAGAATGCAAAGAGGAAGCTACTGAAACAACGACCTGTACAGTTTGTCTGGAAGACGGCAGCTGTGCAACTACTTGGTTTTAAACCCAGAATGATCAAAACGCATTTTCACTGCATTTTGTTGACTTGAAAGATGGCATTGGCTTTAAACAAAACGGGGGTCAAACACTGGCTAGCACATAACAGCACCGGCAGAGGTTTATTGCGAGATAAAAATATTCCGTGCGGTTGGACAACGCCAATGATTTTGTAATATGAATAGAATTACATACAATGGTTTTCGCTGTCGGATTTGTTTCGTTGTCTAGGGCAGGAACGAGACTTTGTATCGAACTAAAGTACTGCCTAAAAGGTGATGAAATAGTCATTGTTACAAATAATGATTGTAAAACAATTTATATTTATGGTCAAGAACCCTATTATAACACTTAGATCTTTAAAACCTATTTCAATGCTCAAGTGTCGAATGAAAATCATTTGAATTTCGAGGCAATGATTATGGGTCACATTTTCAAAGTATTTTGCATTCAGACTTGTGCTGTGCTTGTTAAAAGCAACTTTGTTACAATTGGCCACTTTTATCATGCAGCTGAAGGTGAGAATATTGACGAAGAGTCGAAGAACAACGAAGCACTTATCAAACAAGAGTTTTTTACTTGTAGTAGAGAAGAAACTTGTTCTCGTCTCTTAAAAAGAAATATCTGGATCAAAGCCTGAACATAAGAAAGGAACTAGCAAGCTCAAACATCTCTAGAGGATAAGACCTTTACTGACAAGATTAGCTGCCGAAAGTGTGTATAAAGCAGTTATGGTACCAGGGATGCTTTACCGTTCTACTTCTATCCTAAGAATAGCTGAAACAGACTGTGGATGATTTGAGTCACTTCAAAACAGAGCTTTAAAGATTATTTACAGAAAAGAACAAAAATATTACAAACTAATATCAACTGACAACAGTAATAAATACAAGGCTTGTCTTCCGGTATTTAGATGCTTAAAAAGAACATCTATAGAAGTTATGAACACATTTATTAAATCCTTGAATCATGATCGTAACACTAGAAACAACAAATTTGCAGCGCAAATCCCGAGAGTGTTCAACGAACTTCCTAGCAGCCTAAGCCAGTTGGACCCGTTTTTCCATTTTTACCGTAAACTAAAACAATTTTATATGAAGAGATACAATTGGTTTATGCTTTCTAAACAGTCTTGCAGGTTTATTATAAATTTTATTACATACAGGGCCCTCGTTGATAGCAGCACTCCGTGTGTTTAAGAGGTTGACCTATTTAAACATTATTAGTATCATTATTAATTAATATTTCTATGAAAAAGCTTTCCTATGCGCCTAGAGAAAACCAATTTCTCTCACACAAAAAGACTGTTTGCTTTCCGCGTTCATCTAGGAAATAGACCTTAACAACTTGGTAATGCAATTTTTATATTTGTTGATTCATTTCGGTTATCTTCAAAGCGTAATTCCAATTCACCTCCAGGTAACCGAATTGTTTCAATGAATTGGTATGAACTATGCGCTGTGGCTTGTTCTACCATGACATGGAAGTTTGCCAAATCAATTTTTATTTTATTTGATATTATTCTTGTGTCGACTTCTTTAACTGTAATTTGCATATAGCTAGAAAAAGAGTGGCAGGTTTTACGGCCTAGAACACATTGCTAAAGCATCGTATGAAAATCATTCCAATTTCGAGGCAATGATCATGGGACACTTTTTGAAAGTATTTTGCATTCAGACTTGTGTTGTGCTTGTTAAAAGCAACTTTGTTACATTTGGCCACTTTTATCATGTAGCTGAAGGTGAGAATATTGACGAAGAGTCGAAGAACAACGAAGTATTTATCCAACAAGAGTTTTTTACTTGTAGTAGAGAAGAAACTTGTTCTCGTCTCTTGAAAAGAGATCAAGGTGCGAAGAGTTTCACTATTCATAAAAACAAAGGTGCTGTCTGGAACAAAATTAAACAGCCATCGGGTAGGTTTCTTGTGTACTGGATGCATAATGATTCTAATTTTGTTTTTTTATTTTCTTCAGAAAGATTGTGATAATAATAATAATAATAAATAATTTGTTTAAAGTTGGCGTACTAAATGAACGGTTGATAGCTATAAAGAAGCTAATTAAGGCCAACTATCTATAAAGAGTTAGTATGAAATAAAAATATATGATACAATATTAAAAAGGTTTAAGGTATAATGTTCTAAATAAAACCTAACCCAGCAATAAATTTTTTACACAATCTACAGTCGCATTCTATAGGGTGTGCTCTTAATTCTTTTTTAAATGTTGCCAATGATTGGGACTCTCTTATACTGTGAGGTAGTGTTTGCCACAGTTTTTGACCTAAATATCTCACAGTTTCTATACCATAAGAAGTTGTCCTGGCTTTTGGAATGCAAAGATTATTTTTAGTTCGCAAATCATAATGTACATTTCTTGTTTCAAAAATCTCACTCATGAAACTAGGGTTCAGGTTATGTTTGGTTTTGTATATTTCTATCATCAAGTACTGTAGATTGCGTTGGTGAATTGATACTGCATTATCCAAAGTCAGCAATGCTTCGTAGTCAGCATGACTGTCTTTATAAACAATTCTGAGTGCTCTTTCGTGGATTTTATTTACTTTAGCATTCAGACATCTGTCATGGAACATCCAAATTAGGGGGCAGTAACTAAACTGAGCTTTTATGAAGCTGTTCATTAGGAGACGCAGTTTATCAGAACCCATAAATGGCGAAACTCTAGCAAGAGCATGCAGTTTTTGGCTGGCTCTTTTGCATAAATTTGAGACGTGACTTTTGAAATTAAGATTTTTATCTATTATCACCCCTAGCAGTTTTTCTTCAGAGCTTTCTTCAACAATGGCCTCACCGATTTTGATCTTAAGGTCATCTTGATTTGTTCCAAAAGTAAGAAGATGACATTTCCCTGCATTCAATTTCATAAAGTTTTCTGGAAACCATTTTGATAAAATAAGAGCATCAGTTTCTAGCCGTTCTAAAACTTTATCTAATTGACAGTCAGCTGCAAAAATCGTAGTATCATCAGCAAAGTTACATACTGCAGTATCAGTTACCATTAAGAATAAATCATTAATATATAAATTAAAGAGAAGAGGCCCAAGGACTGATCCTTGTGGTACACCTGCAAAGGTTTCTCGCCAAGTGCTGAATGAACCATTTAATTTTACCCTTTGTCTTCTACCGGACAGGTAATTATAAATCAATAATTGAGCATCTTTACAAAAACCATAGGCATTTAATTTCGCAATTAATAGCTCATGGTCTATGCAATCAAACGCTTTTGAGAGATCCATTAGCAAGGCACCAACCACCCCTTTTTATCTAGGGAATTCTTGCAGATATCCATTAATCTCAACAGCGCATGCTGTGTGTTGAAACCTTTCCGAAAACCACATAAGTAGGGAACTAGGAACGTATCCGCGAAGTCGACCATCTGAGCATATAGAAGCCGTTCAAAGACCTTTGATAATGCGGATAGAACGGTGATAGGTCGATAGTTTCGTTTTTCTGTAGTTTTGTCACTTTTGAATAGTGGAGTTATGTCTCCTAATTTAAGATCTTCAGGAAACGTTTTCTGGAGCAATGAATTATTGAAAATTGTCGTCAGTAATGGTGCAAAAATGTCTTCGTTTTCTTTCAGTATCCGCGGAGGAATACTTTCAATTGTAGACGCTTTTTTTGTATTTAGTCTCAATAATTCATCATTGACTGCCTGCATTGTAATTGGTTTGAATTCGAAGAATGTGCCATGGTTTACCTTATCCTTAATCTTGCGGATGCTGGGATGATGTTTATATTTTTCAACAGCAATTTCAACAGGATCCAGCAAATGGTCTGTCGAATTGAGAATGCATTCACCAGGGGCAATGTCAATTGTCTTTGTGATATTTGTAAAAAATTCATTAAGGATCTCAGCTTTTTCACTGTCATTCGTAATAAACTTTTCATTTTCGATAAGCGTAATACTTGAAGAGGTTTGTACCTTGTCAGTAAAAAGTGGTTTTACAGTTTTCCAGAACTTTTTATTGTCAGTGACAGAATTTATATCAAGGTTACCATAATATGATGTTTTTGCTTGTCGCAGAATTTTCACACACCTATTTCTTTGCTTTTTAAAAGCGTTCCAGTTTTCAGAAGTATTATGCCTGTTTAATCTGTTACGTAACTGTGAACGGAGCATAATTGCCTTTCTTAAAGTTTTCGTCATGAAGGGTGCATCATTTGCGCGTAAATATTTCTGGTAATATCCGAGTTATATCCGAGAATATGATGGTAATATCCGAGTGTGAAAAAGGACCAGCATGCATTTCTAGCATATGAATGAAATCCTTACAAACCTAAGATTGACCAAAACTGTTGTCGATGCAATATCACAATGTATGTATAAAAAAATTATTGTGATGGAGGGGGACGCAAAGAGGTGTCAACAAGCAGGAAGTCCGGGATGTCACCCCCAATCGCCCCCCCCCCCCGGAAAATTTTGTAAACACGCTCTTGAGAACTTGGAAAAGACCCATTTTGATAATGCGTTTTGGAAATCCATGGCTTTATTTACGTGGCAATGTTTGGCTAATCAAACACAACAACTCTCATATGTAGCTTTTTGCGGCCAGCCCATGTTACATGTCGAACTTTATTTTTTCTTCACAACTCCTTTAATGTTGATATTCTGAAGTGTGTAAGGTGAGGAAGCTCTACGTGTGAAAACTGATTTTTCAAAGCTTTAAGCAAATATAAAATAATAAACAGTATTCAAAATTTTCAAACTAATTCCGTTATTCTTGGAGTAAAACCTGCAAAATTCCCGACAAGAGTTTAAGAGTCCAGTTTTTTAAGGATTTAAGCATTTTAGTTTCTACTTTATCGGGAATGTCTAAAGAATGTAAAGGACTTTTCTGTAACAACCCTAAAACGAGGGGAAATTGTAAAACATTCTGTAGAGGTACAGACGAGGATTACCTGCGAGCAGAACATTTTAGGGACCACACCCTTAATATTAGCTTAAAATACATTCCAGAATATTTCTTAACCTCGATTGCTTGCGGTCTTTTAAAATGTTTTAATTTTCTCTGAACCATCAACCTGCCTCCCTCCCTTCAAACCCCCGAGGTACATCTCTGTATATATTGAAAAATTCGTGTTAATAAGATTTCAAGAACCTCTACAGCAATGCTCAACAACCCCAGATTCAGCTGTATGCGTTTTGAAATGATTTTGTTCATCCCCTAGATTGCAAAGATTTACACGAAAGCGGTAACAGAAAAAGTGGCGCCTACCACATAACCAGACCGAACGGGCAAGTATTGAAGGTTTACTGTGATATGGAAACAGACGGCGGAGGTTGGACTGTGATTCAGCGCCGTATTGATGGCTCAACCGACTTCAACCGTGACTGGTCTGATTATAAGCATGGCTTTGGCGATGTTGAGAAAGAAATGTGGATCGGGTTAGAGAACATGCACTCTCTTGCCAGCCCTAGTTCTAACACAACTCTACGCATAGAGTTGAAGCATTTGCTTAAAGGTAATCAATCGCTTTTTGCCAAATATGGTAGCTTTAAGATTGCTGACGAAAGTGATGGATATCGTATTAGTCATTCTGAATACAGTGGAACTGCGGGCGATGCTTGCAATATGAGCCCTCCTACTGTCAGAATGAATGGCATGAGGTTCTTTACAAAGGATTTTGACAACGACTTTGGTTGTAGTGGTCTTTACAAGAGTGGATGGTGGTTCAACAGGTGTCACAACTGCTTTCTTAATGGATTGATCCCGTATAAGCCCAGTAATGCACCAACATTTATGTCTTGGAAAAGTATTGACTTGGATTGGGGCAACATCTACTTTTCTGAAATGAAGCTTAGACGTAACTGAGCGTCCTAAGACCTTTGTGACTCTTTAGATAACAAGATTAGTTATACAGGATATATTAAACCTTTTACTTTATGTAACCAGTCAATTAGCATTTCGTATTTTGTGATGGGGTTGTATGCCAGTTCATTTCTAAGTTGCTTGTAGCTAAGTTGAGAATTTAGATAAGATTGAAATCAAGCACTTGAATGTTTCTTTCTATTGAACTTAAACGCTACACAGACAATCAATTTAAATGTGTATTAATTGTTGGATTTCAAGCAACATTTGCTGCTCGATCAGCTTTTTACGAAAATGTATAAAGAATATCATCTGTTGAATTCTAAGCGGAATGTCTTTCCATTACGAACACAAAATGTTAAAAATGTGAACTATATGTGAACATACATGCTGGTCTTCTTCTCTAGCATTAACACTCAGTACAAATTATCTCGGCGTTGTATACGGTGCCCACATTAACAAAAATGCTTAGAAACTGTCTATAAAGATAAATTGGCATCTCAGCTGCAATGTGGCACTATAGCATGATCTTGACAATACTCTTTCTACCATACTAATTCGCATTTGATTAAAAATTGGCTTTACCAAGTTGCAGGATAGAAATATGCTGGAACAAGATATTTTGTGGAGTCCCAAGACGAAGTAAAAGTTGCTCCCAGGCAATGAAGGCACCTCTGAAGGCACACCAGCAATGAAGTTCTGAATAAAATGCAAACTTTGTAAAAAGATGTCTGGAAAGGACATGTATATTTCGAAGAGGCAGGACTCCAATGAAAATATATTGATGGATGTCAACTTTTCATTAAGGGGAGCCAAACTTTGGAAGAAAAGCAGTAGCCCCCATCCCCAAGACAGAAAGAAAAAACTAAAGAACAAACTCATCTAATTATGAAACTACAGTAGGTATACGAGTAGTTTACACTTCTTAATTGGTTGAACCTCTGAATATCGAGCTTTCAAATGTTTCGTGAATGATTAGAATGATTTGATCGAATGATTTATAAATCAATCAAACTTCTGATCAGGTATGTAAAAGTGTTTGGACTTTTTCCATGTTTCACTTGTTCAATTTAAAATCTTTACGCTTAAGACATTTCCTTTTTTGACGGCAAATGTTTTAACCAGCACCCTTTAGTTTAGCCGGTAATTAAAATCCATGCGCCAGAGTTAACTAGGATGGGAAAATCCTCTAAACACTTGAGCCATGTGTACAGTCTGCTCTAAGACAGCAGTTTCAAACCGGTTCTAGAAAAAATTATAGCTTGTTCAATCATGAGCAGAACGCCGAAAGGTTTCGGAGGCCCTAGGGCAGAACCTAAAGACGAGGTCAGACCTCCTGCGAGCGGAACGAGAAGAAACGTTCTGCAACGACTTCCTTCAAAAAATCTGAAAATGCTTTCTTGATATTTCATTTTCTTGCAATCGCTTACAAATTCATACTGTTTTAGGCATATTTTCCTACGTTTAAATAACTTCATTCTAAAAATAGCTTTTGCTAGTTAATGAGGCCCTCTAGACCTCAAGGTCCTGGGGGAATTTTTCCCTTCTCTCTCCGCTCAGCGGCCCAGATGATGAGATGGCAATTTGCCAAAACGACTTTAGATAATTGCATTTGATTTCATTCTTGTTTTGATTTCTTTGTCTGAAATTTGCACAAAGCTAGAACAAGAGTAGCAAGTCTCATTGCTTAGAACACATTGCTAAAGTGACCTATGAAAATCAATCCACTCTTGATACAATTATTATGGGTCACTTTTAAAAAGCATTCTGCATTCAGACTTGTATTGTGCTTGTTAAAAGCAACTTTGCTGCAACTGGCCACTTTCATCAAGCAGCTAAAACTAAAGATGTGGATGAAGACCTCAAAAACGACGAAATATTTATCAAACAAGAATTTTTCAATTGTAATAGAGTAGAGACTTGTTCCAGTCTCTTTAAACGAAGACAAAGTGCGAGGAACTACATCAGTCAAGAAAATGAAAGTTACAACATTGTGTGGAACAAAATGAAACAACCATCAGGTGAGTATCTTGTCATTTAGTCGCAGAATCAAAAACTAAATTGCGGAATTGGAAGTACTGACTTTCTTTTCTAAACTACATTTACTCTCTCTATTTGTATTTGACGCTAACCCTAAGGAAAATCTGATGCTAAAGTGACAGTCTAAAAAAGGGAGAGCTTCAGCTGTACAAGAAGCTTAGGATCTCTAGCGGAGGGAAAATACTTTTACAAAATTAGAAATGACAGAACCTGTTATTCTTGTATTCATTACAAAGTTTGTAATTATTAATTTTCATTGAATAGATTGGTATACCTTTTAAGTCAATGATGGATTTATGGATTTGAAATAATTTTATTAATCGAATAGATTGCAAAGGTCTCTACGACAGTGGCAAGAAAGAAAGTGGCATTTATCACATAACCAGACCGAACAAGCAAGTTTTGAAAGTTTACTGTGATATGGAAACAGACGGTGGAGGTTGGACTGTAATACAGCGCCGTATTGATGGCTCAACCGACTTCAACCGTGGCTGGTCTGATTATAAGCATGGCTTTGGCAGTGTCGAGAAAAATATGTGGATCGGGCTAGAGAATATGCACTATCTTGCTAGCCCTGATGCCAGTACCACCCTTCGGATAGAGCTAAAGCACTGGCTCAGGGGTGACAAACTATTTTTGCTAAATATGGTAGATTTGCGACTGGCAATGAGACTGATGAATATACTTTGCATGTTTCTAGGTATTCTGGTACTGCAGTTTTAACAATTTTAGAAATATCGGCGCGCAGAACAACGGAAATAAGTTTAGCACAAGCGATCGTGACAATGACTTGAACGTTGTGGAAAACTGTGCTGCTAGCTTAGGAGGGGGTTGGTGGTACAGCTCGACAACCACCACCCAGCTTAAAGGATTGTATCCCGAATCACCGGATTCAGGAGAGCGATACATGCAATGGTCAGACTTGAGCATATTGCAAGGTAACATAAAGTACTCCGAAATGAAGGTCAGACGAAACTAAGCAAGACATCGGCCTTTAGAAAGGGTATCGTTGAAAAGAAAAGTTAGCGGAATCGGCACAATTTGTGCTATTCACTTTCTTTCAATTCACAATCTCAACAATAGAACCTTATTTGATTCTTCTAAAACTTTAAATACGAAATGTATGCTTATTTATGCTTTTAGAGTAAATTTAAGGGAAACTATTGAAGTAAATATGATTCAATCCTTGTAATTTTTCTGCATTTTTCTGAACCAAAAAAGTCTTGATTTAAGATAAGAATTCTCAATTTCTAAATACAGACTATGCCTGCCAATGGTAAAATTTAACAGCAATGGTACAATTCATGTCTATTGTGAAAACAGAACAGTAAAATAAATTTACATCCAAGCTATAGGTCACAATGCACAATAGTTTAAATAGAACTAGGCATTGACCCAGACTGAAATGAGTTCATTTATGCCAATTTTCCACCAACGAATTTTTAAGGTCCTTTAGGAGAAAAACAAAAGGCACAGGTATCCATGTAATATTATTGCTACGAGCTCAAGGACAGGATTCGTTTTCTACTTCGCCTGGAAATAAGTTCTTTAGTCTATATATTACTGAATTTATTTAGTCCAAGGAAAAAGAAAAAGAGAAGAGTCTTTGAGAAGAATACAATAGAGTTTCGTATGCAACTGTGATAATGATTTAAAGCTGTTGTTACACTTAAAGTTGGATAAATAGTGTGTACTGAATTCGAGGCATTGCGTCATAATTTAAGCAATAAGCTTTTTTTCGTACTGAGTCATAGTCATTCTGAAAAACTTGAAATATTATTCCTTATCGTCGACGGAAACAGGCAGAGTTTTAGGGCCTCCCTTTAGCCCCTTGTTTATGCAAAAATTAACCCTTCTCTAATTTTTGCTATCCTTTTTTATTTCTTAAGTTTTTCCAGTTCGGCGAGAAGTTTAGATTTCGAGAAGATCATGATTGCCCTATGTACTAAAGTTTTGTCAAGGTTGCGTTGTTTCGGGCAAAACGAATTCCAGCGTATGTACTGACCGGGACAAGTGGAACAAATTTAAATGATCTTTCTGGACAACGGCTATCAAGAAAATATAATTTGCTTATACTGAGAAGAAGATCGCAAGTTTTTCGGCTGTTTAAAAGTGCCCAGTTTATCTTTAAGTACCATGGATTGTTAACATTTCCTTGCGATTCGAGAGTCAGATTAGGCAAGCCATTGCTAAATGTTTCTTTGCTGTCAATCACGGTATTTTTAACAGAACTAGAAGAGCCCTTCCATCCATCCAAAAGGATTGCAGTCCCACTAACGAAAACCGTCCCCTCATTTATGAATTCACGTGCCAGTGTGATTCTGGCTACGTAGGACGAACAAACCAAAGACTGGGGAATAGGATAAGACAACATACTCCTTTCAACGATGTCTTTATATTTTGTCAAAGTTGCTCATGGAAACAACTTGAAAATTAAATGTGACTGAATTTCTAAAATGGAAGAAAGGAGAGAAGCCTAAATCCAACAAGTAAAGATATTCTACTAAACTTGTCTGCATAGAGATAGATGGTTGATCTATAGATAATAAATTTGGAGAATTTTCATTAAGTCAGTCATAAAAATAAAAGAGAAAATTATATTAATTTAAAAAATTGGGAAATAGGGCAGCGACCATGGGGCTGAAATATGTCACAGTTGAAAGGTTTTGTTAAAAAATTTCTAGTGTAAAAAAACAGAAGGAGTGAAGGAAAATTGATTGCAGGATTGATGCTGGGCTATAAATGACAATTTAGATGATACCAAATAAGAATGAAGATGCCCCATCAAATATTCTCTTTTAGATTTAGCTTCCATGAGATTTTCTTTAAATCAATCACAGAAATGTAAAAGAAAATTGCCAAATTTTCAAAATTAGAAAACCGGGAAGCAACCATGGGGGTGAAATATGTCACCGTTAAAAGGTTTTGATGAAGAAATTTCTATTGTGAGAAAAAAACAAAAGTATTCAGGGGAAACTGACTGCAGGATGGGCTGTAAAGCTTGTCGATAACAATTTAGACGATACCAAAAAAGAATGAAAATGTCCTAACAAAGATTATCTTTCAGATTAAGCTTCCATGAGATATGACCTAGGCCACGGCGTGTCAAACTCAAGCAAAAAAGAAAAGACCAAAATGAAAACATAATCCAAGTAATGACAAAAAAAAAATGAACATTCATCAAATAAATTTAAAACTGGCGGTACTGCAATATGGAAATCGAATTTAGATTGCCTAGCCAAAAGACATATTTCAATCGAAACATAATATTAAATCTTAATTTATTGAGAAATCGCAATCATTGACATTGACAAAATCTTACTTGCAATTTAAACATTTTTCGCTAGCCATATGTGATCATACCAGGTCCCGGACGGGACCAACGGTCACGGCTTTACCATTTTGGCCTAGGCAAGATTAGAGCATAGAGTGTTATCGGTAAATTGCATCTAATGAATGGCATCAGTTGCTCTTGGGAGCTGATAAGAGATTCTAATGATACAATAAGAA